TGTGAGGGGGTCACACGGTTGCTCCTAGCTAGCTAGACCCTTGCTTCTTTCATGGCCTTGGTGAGTTTTTTGGAAGCTATCTAGGGAGAGAGGCTTCTTAGTCTAGTCCTCAAAGTTCTTTGCCTTTTCTATGAGGCAGAAAAAGAAGTTGAGGTTCTGTGCTTTCTCTAGGAGGGAGAAAAATGAGTTCATCACCAGGAGGGTGACATACCGTCTGACACTCAGTTGCATCAAAGATTTGGTGAAAGTGAGTTTGTAAAAACTTATGTGCCCTGTTGTGGGAGTAAAATGAGAGTCACTTTTTATTAGTGCAAATTCCTAGAGTAAACTCCGGGGAGTGGACGTAGGTCAAGGCTAACTGTGTTGTAAATTTGGATTCAAATATTATAATTTTGATGATAGTAAACATTTCTGATATTTCTGTTTCTCTACTATTATCCTGCCTACTAATGTTTCAGATCCAAAAGGTTAATTACAAATCAAGCTAGCTCAAGATTGGATAGATTAGGACTGAGTCGGTCTATAAGTGTAATTCCTATATATTTACCTTTTCTTGAGTTAAATGTAATAATATGGATTCTTATACTAAGTAATCTTGCACACACTTACTCAGGGGGAGAAATTCTATAGGCTTAAGATTTTTTTATTTTTGATCATATCATACATGACGATCTAAATTCGTCCTAGACGATCAATTAAAAATAAAAAACCTTGATTAGGGAATCCTTGTTAAGATAGTTGAACTAAGCAAATCATCTTGGATGATATTAATATCATCCTGGATGATATGCTCAAATCAGAAAGAATCAGCCGCCAACTCTTTTAGATATGTTATTATTTTTAGACATTATACAAGACAATCCAATTTCATCCTGAATGATTCATTACAATTATGCCTAAATTAATATGTTGATTAAGGAAAAAAATTAGGGTTTGATTGATCGATCATATCATCATGGACAATCACAGAATCATCTTAGACGATCAGTTAAGAAATCTTAGTTTCTTCCTGAGTCATCCTAGATGAATAGTACGATGTGCTAGATATATTTAATTTTTGAACTAATCATATAAAATAATCTAAGAATCATCCTAGATGATAAGTTATTTTTTTATTGTCCAACATATAAAGTCTGGCAGACCAAAATGATATTCTGGACAATATATATTATTTTGAACTAATCGTGTAGGATGATATACGCATCATCCTAGACGATCATAACAAATAAAACATATAATCGTCCAACCCTCCTAGATCGTCCTGGCCGAATGAGCTAAAAATACACTGATCGTACAAGATAAGAGAGAGCTAAGAGAAAGAGAGGAAGAGCTTGGGAGAGAGAGAGGATCTTGTGAGGGGACGGTTGTGAGGGGTTCACAAGGTTTCTCCAAGCAAGGATCTGAGTCGTCTTCTCCAGTCATCGTCCATGGTTCCTTGGAGGCTCTAGAGAGGTCTTCTTCAACGATCGATCGAGGTTCTTTTCCTACTTTAGGAGGAAGCAAAATGAGGTCATGGTTCTATGCCTGCTTTAAGAGGAAGCTAAAGGAGATCAGGTTCTCTGCCTCATCGGAGTCGGTGGAAAGGAGTTTATAAAGGCTTCTCTGCCTTGCTGTGGGAGCAAAAGGAGAGTCTCTGTGTTTAGTGCAATACCTGGAGGAGAGGCTCCATGGATTGGACGTAGGTTAAGTTGACTGAGCCACTGTAAAATCTGGTGTGCTCTTTCTTATTACATTTTCGCACTTTAATTTCAGCACTTTATTTTATGTGGGTGATCATCTAGTTTGATGTTTTAAAATATTTCAAAAGATTATGATTTTGTTTAAGAATTTTTAAAACTGTCAATCACCCCCCTCATGGTTAGCCTCGGGATAATTCATAAGTGCTTAACATCCCTAACGAACTATCAAACTGAACCACTATAAAATTTTTGGTGTGCTTTTTAATTTACAAATTTTAATTTTTGCATAAAATTTTTATTATAATTGCTTGATGAATATTTGAGAATAATGTTCTGTTGTACAATTTAGAGTCTCATCATCATTACTAAAATCATTGCAATTTTGTTAGCTTCTACATCGGGTAATTGAATTACTTATCTGAAAACTTCAAAAATAAATCTACAAAAATAATATTCCTGCTTAGATCAATTTTAAAGTACAAATTCACCCCCTCTTTTTGGCGCATATCAAACTTTCAATATGAACCTCTCTCTCACAAACTGCAACATCCGGACTCATCCATCTTCCTCTCGTTGAACCCCTCAACCTAGTACTCACCTCCAAGGCTCCGTTGGTGGACTTCATAATTTATGTAAGATTTACATCACTTAATTAGAGGTCCCATTTTTAGCTTACTTGTATAATGAAAGAATTTTTAATTTGTTTTCAACTTGACATTAGTCTATTTGCAAAAAAGATTTAAATACTTTCCTCTATAAGCAAGCCATATAAATTTAATTTAATAAAGCATATGATTTTACTGTTAATTAATTGATTAAGCAATCTAACTACTGTAAAATTGAAAATGTCATTCCTCCTATCAAAATTAGTTGTGCAGTAATTTTATACTATGGTTCGAATAAGCAAGATGCAAGTTTTTTTTTGCATGAGTAACATCTCTTCAATTTGATTTGATTTATGGAACAATTTGTGTTTTGCTTTTGGAATACGTTGATTTTATTTCACAAAACTAATTATAAATTGACCAACCCAAAATATGAAAAAGCATCAAAATTCAAATAAGTTTAAAACAATATTTGCGTTTATATACTTAGCAGGTTATATGCTTTGTATAGAGTTTACAATTTTCATTTGGCATGTTAAATATGTAAGATACTTAAACTGAAATAGAAGGAATGATATGCAATCAATTTTCAATCATATATTCTTAGGTTGAGCTTAGCATATTTTTGAACCATTGTAAATAATCCTTTGGGTATCTCTTAAGATTGTCTTTGTAATCTACAAAATACAAGCCCAATCATGAGGTGTAACCAACTGCACATTCCCAATTATCCAAAAAGGACCACACAAAATATCATTGAACACACAAATATGAAATTCAACAACTTTTAGAAAAGTAATGTGGATCTTGTTGAGTATTAGAGGTGTAATTCAATTTTATTGAAGTTCTTTGAGCTAATTCAATGTACATGTCTTGTTATTGCGTATACTTTATATTTTATATCGTACATGCTTAAATTATACAAGTCTATCTTTTTAATATAATACTTTTAACATTAGTTGTTCTTAGGCCAATATAGCATGATCAATTTTCTAATTTTCTTCGATATTTTATAAGTAATTTATGTAAGCATTTATAAGTTCTATTCCACAGTAATTACCAAAACACAAACGTTAGTTTTAAAGAGATTACTATACAATGAGACCTTTCTAATTATTTAACTTCTTCCAATGTTTATAATTCTATTTCTATTAAAAAATGTTGCCTTACAAATGCAATATATTCCATTAATTCTCAAAAGCCTAAGTAGATGATACTCTAAAGCTTTATAAAGTTACATCAGCTTAAATTTTACTTTAATTGTATTTCTTTTATCACTTGAAAATATTTTTAAATATTTTGATGATTTTATACCTCCACTATTCATGATCCCATTTTTTTTACATTTATAATATTTTAGATATGCAGCATTATTCTTTGTTGCAACCAACACCAATCAAAATTAAATCAAACTTCATAAATTTTTAAACTTCAAATTTATCTCTATGACACTTTTTCTTCGAAATAATAATAACACTTACCAAGAATGAATGTTCAAAACGTTGTTAAAAGACAACCTCTGATTGATAAGGCTCAATTTAAAACACAAATGATGCAAAACGAGAAATGCAATACCTAATAGCAATACACAAGTTTCCAAGATAATCATTGTTATATCCAATCCTTTTCCCATCATTCAGAGCATCATTTATGGATATAAATGGATGGTTTATATTTACAAATTTCAAAGTTTGTATTTCCGAAAAAAATTGACAAAAATTTGTGTTTTTGAAAAAATTCATCAAAAAGGTTTGTAGTTTCTTTGATATTTATTATTTTTTTCACATTTTTTAAGGATATTCACTAATATATTTTAAAACATCAAAGTATAATTATTTTCTTTCCTACATCATGGCTCGCAAGTTATTTATTAAGTTGGGTTGACTCACTTACACACATAGTTTTTATAATATTATCCAAGTGTTACTATTGAAAAATAGAATCAACTCAAAATTTTCACGAGTATATGCATATTTCATACATGCATGATTTATGTATGATAAATTCTTAAAATTAAGTTAATAATTTAAAATTTAAACTGTTAAAATTTTATTCAACCTTAAGAATTGAAATATAAGAATTTAACTTTAGGGCATAAATTGATAAAATTGCATATCATTTTAAATAATAGTATAAATTTGTAAAACTTAAGATAAAACTCAATTCCAATTATTTCTAGTTAAATGATAAAATCCAAACAATATTCCATTGAATAAATGTATCTTCAATCAATCAAAGGTGCTATTATTAAAGTAAGGCTTTATTTGTGACTACTATTGGCCATTGATTCTTTGTTGCTTTCAAAAAAACATTTTTATTAAAAAATTGTTATAGAAAACATTTAAAAAATTGTCACAAATAGAACCCAAGAATATGAAAGCATGTAAGAAGAGTGCATATATTCTAGCACTTAGAAGCCAATAATAATAATAATAATAATAATAATAATAATAATAATGTGTTAGCATAAGACATATAGATGCAATATATAATCAAATTAGATCTTTTTTTTCTCTCTCATATTATTTCACTTTGATTTTATCAAATTAAATACATAGCTATGAAGAACATACAATTAACTAGCATATATATGATTTTAAAGTTTATATATATCGAGGCTTGCCCTTCTTCGAATGACAATTAATGATTTCTGTGTTAAATACATGCATTCATTGGCAATAAAGCGCGTGGGGCCCACTACCTCTACTGCATTTTTCTTCCTATTTCTTCCCTCTTTTGTCATCCGGTTCCTCCGCTTTCCACTTTTGGTAATCTGCTTCTATCGAAGACAAAGAAAGCTGTTGCAGAGATACTTGGAGAGCAAAAGCCAGATTTTTGGAGTGTTGTCGGTTGAGTGTTCCATGCGGGTAAGCAATCCCCTCTTCAAAGCTGAAGATTTGGATTCCATTTTCTTCCTTTAGTGGGAGGGTTGGGTGGTTTTCGAGGTTTCGTTAAATTGAAGTTGTTCTTGTTTTTTTCTCTGGGTTTTAGCTGGTTTTGTTGCTTGGTTCTAGCGGGTAGGAATTCCGTCCCTGGATTGAGGTTTTGCATTAGTTTATTTTTTAGTTTTTTGGTGGTTAAGGTATTGGATTCATCGTGTTTTGGCTTTTTATTTTGAATGATATTCATCAGTGAGTGTTCTGCGCATTTATGTTTTTCCTTGCTTCGACTGTTTATGGAATTGTTCTGCGGGTCCTGCTTGTTGTTCTTGAAATAGTGGTTGACTTGCTCTGGTCTTATTGTTGTTGTTTCTCAGTTTTGTTTGTAGATTTTCGTTGAAAATTTGTATTTTGCTTCTGTTCAATTAAGCCTTTTTTTTTTGCTTTGTTTTTTAAATTTTCAAATAATTTTCCGTTGTTTGATTTTAGTTGTTTTGAATGAATTTTTGCTATTTCCTCTATGTATTTTGATGGCTATATGTTTGACTGTTGATATGCTGCTTAATCTTATGCATATATTTTTACTTGTATCTTTTGTTTGAGTTCTCTAATTTTTATGTAGATTTTGTTAGTTGTTTTGGTCTGGAATGATAGCGCTTTAGTTGGTTGTTTTCTTGTTGAGCTCTCGGTTGCTACGGTTGAAACAGAACTTTTAGGTTCTTTTTATCTTCTTCCCCTTATTCATGATTTTCAATTAGCCTAATTTCAATACATAAGAAAATATCCAAAGAACAAAATATACTTCATGATAATTATAGAAACATAAGATGAAGTTTTGATCACAGATATGATAAAAGCCCTTAAACTACATCACTTTAAATTGTTGAGCATACGTACATTTTGCAAAAAGAATTCATAAGAAATTCAAATTTCTATCTATTTGAGATGCTTCCCCTTCCTTCCATCTGTAATCGTTTAATTATGGGAGGACACTTCTTCTATTCGATCATGTTGCATCCTAGAGTATTCGCAGCAGTAGAGAAATATATAATTTAATATCTTAGCATTGTACGAATATCCAGCACACAAGAAGATAAAGGAGAGAGTGTAGCGTTCATAAGACACACTAGAGTTTTTACATGGAAAACCCTGAAAAGGGGTAAAAACCATGGGGCCCGACCTAATTTGAGTGAATACACTAGTATTTGTAGTCAATTACAAATGAGGGCCTACCTTGGGAGAAGGCCTTGGCTTGATGTCACAAAGGTACATCATATAGAGTGCATTACATGGTGGGAGTTACATAGACATCTTTGTTTGTTGGCATGAGCATAGTTGATGGGATAAAGGTCAGAAAGATCTTAGTAGGCAGGAGATTGGGGTCAGAAAGACCGTTGTCTAGCGATGGAGATCGAAATGACCGTAGTAGACGATGGAGGTTAGAAGGTTCATAGTCGACAGGAGACAGGGGCCCGAAAGACAGTAGTTGGCAGGAGACTAGGATCCGAAAGACCATTGTCTGATGATGGAGGTCGGAAGGACCATAGTCGGCAGGAGACAAGGGTCCGAAAGACCATAGTTGGCAGAAGACCGGGGTTAGAAAGATCGTTGTCTGGTGATGGAGGTCGGAAGGACCATAGTCGGCAGGAGACAGTGGTCCGAAAGACCATAGTTGGTAGGAGACCGGGGTCAGAAAGACCATTGTTTGGTGATAGAGATTGGAAGGACCATAGTCGGCAGGAGACTGGAGTCTGAAAGATTATGGTTGGCAGGAGACCGGGGTCAGAAAGACCGTTGTCTGGTGATAGAGGTCGGAAGGACAGTAGTCGGCAGGAAACTGGGGTCTGAAAGACCGTAGTGGCAGAAGACCAGGGTCTGAAAGATCGTTGTCTGGTGATGGAGGTCGAAAGGACTATAATCGGTAGGAGAAACGGGTTTGAAAGACCGTAGTTGGTAGGAGACCATGGTTACAAAGATCGTTGTCTGGTGATGAAGGTCGGAAGGACCATAGTCGGCAGGAAATTGGGGTCCGAAAGACCGTTGTCTGGTGATGGAGGTCGGAAAACCATAGTCGATAGGAGACAGGGGTCCAAAAGACCGTAGTTGGCAAGAGACCGGGGTAAGAAAGTCCATTTTTTGGTGTGGAGGTCAGAAGGACCGTAGTCGGCAGGAAACTAGGGTTCGAAAGATCGTAGTAGAAGGGCGGTACTCTGGGAGAACTCCAGGCGTCAAGTGGTGGCCCGGCAGAAGTCCGAGTCTCAGGTTGTGGTCCGGCAGAAGTTTAGGCCTCAAGTGGTGGTCTGACAGAAGTTCGGGCCTCAGGTAGTGGTCCGCCAAAAGTCCGGGTGTCAGGTGTGGGCCTGGTGGAGCTCAGGACCTCAAGTGGTGGTCCGGCAGAAGTCAAGGCTTCTGGTGATTGTCTGGTTGAGCGCATGGCCTCAAGTGGTGGTCCTGTGGAACTCAGGGCCTTAAGTGGTGGTCCGGCGGAACACCGGACGGTGGTCAAGGAGGAGCGAGGAGGCAAGAGCGATCTCCGATCTCTCTCTTATTTTGGTCCCCTTTTCAAGAGGGATGAGAGGTCTATTTATATATTTTTTAGAGTGACATGACCCGCAAATAAGAGGAGGATCAAGGGCAAATGGGGAATGGTTTGGATGGACGGTCGATGTTGAATCCCTTGATGGTGAGCCGTTCACTAGACATTTTAAGGTCTTAATGTCGTCGGAATTCTGCTATCTTGGGCTCGTTGGATTCGTCTCGTCGTGCCGCTCGATTCGACTATAAGCATGTCACGTTTGGAAACTGTTTGGCAATCCAAATTGTGGTTTGAAACTTCCAACAGCGCTTCGGGTCCTCCATTCGGAGCCATTTGGGATCGGATTAGTCGAATTTGGTGTCGTTGGGTTCATATTTCCGAGATGTTCTGTTCGACTATTAGTTTACTGAATTCGGAGATCGGATGGCCCCAAATTTAATTTCGGAAGTTTCCAACTTGATTTTTCCTCAAGATTCATGCTCGATCAAGATAATTTTTTGAAGACGTATCAGATCCATATTTATCCTGAGGCAACACCTTGACCTTACTCGCAAGACTAGTTAGGCTATTTTAGGGCATAACAGGAAGTGATAATCAAATGGGAAGGAAAGGTCAACGAGTGCCTTCAGTGAGTACCTTTAGCAAATGCCTCCAGAGAGTTCCTCTAGTGAGTGAATTTTCCAGGTATGGCGTGGTTGAATTGGTAAAAGAAAGGGGTTTCTTGAATAGTCTTGAAATGTGATGGATGGCCAGCTCAACTTAGGAGGATGATAATGCAAATTGCACATGCATACATTTATTTTTTATGAATATTTACTAAATTCTAAGGGCAATTCCCTATTAGCGATGAGTCTTGACTCTCCATATTTGCTGGTCTTTCTCCACCGTGCTATGTTTTCAATAGTGCTTGACTTCTAGTAAATGTCATCAATCCATACTCACCATACCTGAAAGAATGCTGGATTCAAATATGTCAACAACTTCCCATCTCGGAAGACTAGGTATGTTGTTTTAAAGCGAGAAAGGAAAGGCAAGTGAGCGAAAAAGGAAAGGCAGGTGAGGCAAGAAAGAAAAACATTAAATGTCAATATCTTCTATGTGAATAGTAATTGATATGAGGTCTAAAAAATACCTCTCAGTCTTGTATTTATAAGGTTAGGAGGGTTTAAGGAGAGGTTACACTCAATAAATAATAAAATAATTTATGATTTGACTGGCATAAGTATGTGGCTAGCACTATGATAGCTACATGTGGATAAGCATCTCTGACATGGCCTTGGTATACCTTTGACAAGTGTCAAAATCTTCTGAAGGTGAGTGCCTGTACGATGGATCCCCTAGCAAAGATGAGTGTGCTTTGGGTGAATCTCTCTGTTTGGGGTGAGTGCCCTCTTCAATCAAGCTCTTGTAGGGTGATTTCACTTGATCTCCTTTGGTACCTTAGTGAGGTTGTCTGATTTTTGTGACTTGCTCAGAGTTTTTTGTTTTGGGGTATGCATCTCCAATATAGGTATAATTCCTTGGAAAGAGCCCAACCATATATATATATCACTTCTATGTAGAAATTACCAACGTAAAATCGAATTTTAAATAGTACAGTTAATAATCAAACAGTAGAGGACGGACACTTCTTATATTTGAGATTGTGCTGCAGCTTATTTTTTCAATGGGATCTAAGTTGATAGGTCAAGAAGTTTATGTTGTGAGCAGATGAAAAAAATGCATGATTTATGTCGTACATATTTATCAACTCTAGGCAATGAGGTCCATGTTAGGTCTGCGTTAGTTAGGTCATGATTGCGAGAAGGCCAACAATGCTTATGCTTCGATTAGAGACCACAATCTCTATTGCAGTAATTCATACTCGGAAAACAGCAATAAAGCTTTTAGAGTAACATATTGAAATCTCAACATTCACTAATTAGTTTTCCTCAATCAATTTTAAGGTTATAGAATTTATGTTTGCAGTTTTGAGAAGTTGTTCATTTTAACTTCTCTTTTTTTAAAATGCGGTTGATCTATATTTATCTATTCAGCAAAATATCTATAATGTACCAATTGCTAAAGTTTGCCTTTTCTTCTTTCAGGTGTTCTTATTTCAAATCTGAACTAAAAAAAAAAATTAGGTGAGTTACTTTCTCAAGCTGCGGCTTCGCGGCTTCTTTAATTAGTATGTGCATGATCATCATTCAGCTAATGCAAAGGTCATTGGTTCCCATGTTCTGCTTCCTATCCTTTGCACTTGAGAGTATTGTGTCCGGGTTTTTTTCTTGGAGTGGAATGAGTAGAAACTTCTTTTGAAATATGAAACTTCACTATTCTACCTGTATTAGTACCAATTGCTGGTAAGTCTTGAAAACTTAAATTTTCACTCACATTTGTTCATGTTGTCCTCTAACTGCCTTGGCTTTCTTCTAAGTTCCCCCCTTGGGTTTGGTCATAATACTGAGAGCTGCCTGTCTTTCACTTAATATTTTGATTTAAATTCTACTAATATCATTGCTTAAAACTGCTGAAATCCTTGAACTAAAAATAGAAGGTGCTTTAATTTTCAAACTCAAATATATAAGTTACCTAACCAGTAATTCTGTGCGTGTACCATCTAACTTCATTTTCATTATTTTTATGGATTATCCTGCTTGTTATTTCATTATTCTTGTTTATGTAACAGTTTTCCTTTCTTTTCTGAGTATGTCGTATTACTGATTTGGTCTGTCCAATGATTATGTTTAGCATGGTTGATGCTATTGATACTGGCCAAATGTATACTTGCTTGGGATCTAACGAGCAGGTGGAAGAGTTTGGGAAAAAAAGGTCATAAAAAAATATGGATATTGAGTGTTCCAATGTTATCGGTGGTTTAAATAGTTCAACTATTCTTTTTTCATTGGAAGAACATTCACCCCCAAGTTCATTAAAAATTGAAAACTTTGATGATAAAAGCGTTGAAACTGTTGAATACTACAATGGTTCACCTGGATCTGTTCAGTTTGTACGAGTTGAAGATGATCCAGAAATCATAAAAGGTGCTTGCCACAGCAGGAAAGCCTCATTTTTTGAGAGTATTGACTTAGATCCACTTATATGGTTGCCACCTGGACCTGAAGATATGGAAAATGTTATTGACAGTGTTGCCAATATTGATGACGGTGATGATGATGATTTCTACAATGATGATACAAGATTTGGTCAGCCAGTTTCCTTTAATAATCTTCATGAAGATAAAGGGAAAAGATACCATTATAAAGAGGCACAGCAAAAGGTGATGATGGAAGTGTTAAATGGGCAACTCAAAAATCTTGTGGGCCGTTGTCTTGCCTCAGAGGGCGTTAGTTTCTCTGACAACGATGCTGGTAAGAACTGGCTTGACATTGTGACTTATTTATCTTGGGAAGCTGCCTTACTTGTTAAGCCTGATGATGGTGAAGGGAAAGCTATGGACCCCGGTTCTTATGTAAAGGTGAAATGTATTGCATCAGGTTCTCAAAGTCAAAGGTAATATTTGGATTTTCGAACTAGCTCTAAGAATTGAATGAATTTATGTCATTTTATATGAAAATACTTCTTCATTAAAGGGTATTATAACCGTTGACTTATACTAGGTGGCATGCAAGCATTCTTTGTTCATTGTTTTGGCATGCCATTTAAAAAAAAAATGAATGTTTGTGGGGTAGTAGTTAACGTCGTATTAGACTTATTAGGTTATATGCATTTTCTTTAAATATGTTATGCTTTAATATCCAGCGGTAGAAACTAACTTTTCTTTTTAGTCAAGTGATAGATGGCCTAGTTTTCAAGAAGAGCGCTGCACACAAGCACATGCCAACTAAATTCAGAAATGCCAAGCTCCTAATGCTCAAAGGATGCCTGGGCAATTCGGCAAATGGATTGTCATCATTTGAGTCAATGGGGAAGGTAAGTCAATCAGGACATTAGTTGAGCTTTTTTTAATGGTAACTGTCTGTCATTTTACTCGTTATTTTTTCTGAATCAGGAGAAGGACCATTTGAAGTCCACCATTGAGATGATCGAGACTTGCCATCCAAATGTGGTTTTGGTTGAGAAAACTGTTTCAAGAGATATACAAGAGGCTCTTTTTTCAATGGGAATAACTCTTATCTTTGATATGAAACTCCCACGTTTGGAGAGAATTGCTCTTTGTACTGGTTCTCAGATTGTTTCGCTCAACGATATTACAGTCAGACAAAATCTAAAGCATTGTAGTTCTTTCTGCATTGAAAAGTTTGTTGAGGAACACAATTCAACTGGGGATGCTGGTAAAAGGCTCGCCAAAACTTTAATATTTCTAGAGGGATGCCCTAGACCTTTAGGCTGTACGGTGAGTTTTTTTTTGGTTTGTTCACTTTTTGCTCTTGGTTGCTTCAGATATTTCTTGTGACTTCTTTGAACATCATGCATAAGTTGTTGGTACCACTCTGTCCTTTGTTGCTTCTGGGTGATGTTTTAAATCCTTGACATGTAACTATAGGTGAAAGAAAGAAAACACTTCAAGGGTTCCACAAATATGAAGCAATTCTGTTGCGTTCCTATGCCTGTATATTTAGATGAATATAACATTTTGATAATTTTTTTTCCTACAGTTGGCTCGTTGTTTACTTTCTTGCTTAAATGATAAACTTGTGACTCCTAATTTAGTGCATATTTCACAATGTCCATCCATTGAAAGAATATAGAATGAATCTTCTCCCCATGTTGGAGTAATTCGAACAAAATTCTTATGCTTTTGTTTTACACGTAATGAGTTTTTTTTTTTAATTTATTCAAATCATTTATTATTGCCAACTTTCTTTCCTTCATCTTGTGTAAATAAACGATCGGCATCCTTTTTCTTTGTATCTTGTAAGATCAAAATACATGATCTGTTTCCTAGATAACCCTTTACTTGATTATAGGGCCAGCTTCATAAGAAAAGTTTGAATTAGCATAATAAGCTGGCATAATAAGAGCTAATTCTAGAATTGACTTTGAACTAGAGTTGAATTCACTGGTTTAGCCAGATTGGTTTGTTAAAGTTTAATGATACATGTTAAAAATAGTTCTAGAGTCTTCCATTAAAGCAAATGTCCTGAGCCGGGTCAATCAAGTTCAGAGTTATCCTACACTTTTGTTGCCTAACTGTATAACTTTGTTCCACAATTTACTTGTAAAACATGTTGGATCATATTATTATTATTAATGTGTTTTTCATTATAAAAAATTCTTTTAATTTTTTATACCTTCAGAACTTTAAATGGACTATATGTAACTGGCGAGATCTTGTTGCAGATATTGCTTAAAGGTGCTAATACTGATGAGCTGAAGAAGATCAAACATGCCTTGCATTATACGGTCTTTGCGGCATATCATTTAAAAATTGAAACTTCTTTTTTTGCGGATCAAAAGACATTTTTCTCTGGCATGTATTCGTTGAGGGAGGACAATGTTATTTCTGCAGCTGAAATGGTGAACTCAGTTAATTATGATGATTCTATAAATTCCAATTGTTTGGGTCATAAAGATTCTCTGTCTTGTGCTCCTCCGGAAAATGTTATAGATATTCCTATTTTTAATGGCTCCATGATGAAACTCATCAATGGGGATCAGTCTAATTCTAGTGAATGTGCTGAAGTATCATTGACATTACTTGAATCCAGCATTGGATCTTTTGGTGATAATATCATGCATGGTGACAATAGTGATATCCTTTTGGGGGAAAGCCTCCCACCTCTAAGTTCCGAGTCCATTTCATCATATGCTAAAGAACCACAGTTGCAGAATAAGAATGATATTGAGAGTACATTAGATCCTACAAGCATATTGGTTCTTACATCTAGGCAATGCATACCAAAACAGATTGCTTGTGAGGAGAGCAGTCTTTCACGTATCAAGTACTATGGGAACTTTGATGTGTCTCTTGGACGATATCTACAAGATATTTTGCTCAGCCAGGTTTACTTTATTCATTTTTCTGGTTTTCTCTCACGTTCTCTTTCATTTCTGTCTAAATAACGTACTGATGCAGAAAAAAAATATTGTACTTTAATCTTGATCTTTAGAAGTATACTTGCTCCTGCGGTGAACGTTCAGAAGCACACATATATAGATTCACCCACCAGAATGGTAATCTTACTGCCATAGTAAGGCTTCTTCCCAAGGGATTGGTATTGCCTGGTGAAGCAGAAGGTAAAATTTGGATGTGGACTCGGTGCTTAAAGTGTGATCATGATCGGGGAGGTCCAAATGGTAGTCGGCGTGTTGTGATGTCTTCTGTAGCCCGTGGACTTTCCTTTGGCAAGTTCTTAGATCTTAGTTTTGCTAATCACTCTGCAGCTAACCGATTATCCAGATGTGGGCATTTGCTGCATAGGGATTGCCTTAGATTTTTTGGGTATACTAATCTACCTTGGGTGGTTTTAATTCTACAATGTTATTTATTTCTATGCTTTGGATTCTAAATATTCTTAATACTTCTTTTTGATATGCAGATTGGGATCTAAAGTTTCAATGTTTCAATTTTCTTCAATAGAAATTTATACTGCATGCAAGCCACAACCGTTCTTAGTGTTTGGTAACCAGAATGTACAAGATTGGATGATGAAAGAAGTAAAAGAGGTATTTAGTCTTCATGCTTGTATACTAATTCTTACCTTTGCTTTTTCTAATTTTGACGTCTCATTTGTCTTATTTAGGTTCTCAACAAGAGTGAGCATCTTTATAGAGAGGTTGCTAATTTACTGCAAAATTTGAAACCACATTTATCAAGCTCGATACACAATCAGTCTGTCAAATTTTTTGGGCTTATGAAACCAATTTATGAAATAGAAAATATGCTTAAACAAGATAAAACTGCATTTGAGGTAGTTCCTGTTTCTCTACTTTTTATGGGACGTTATTCTTCGTTTTTCTTAGAAACATGTTAAAATTGCATACTGGAAAACACCTGCATTGAATTGTCCTGCATTAAAACCTTTTTTGATTGTTGCTATGTTTTTTTTGCTATCAGTCTTCTCTGCAAGAGGCTGTAAATCACTTTGTGAACCAAGGAAAAAATGTGAACAAGATTCTTGATTTAAATTGGCTAATCAAAGAGCTGCTTTTCATGCTTTATGTATGGGATCGTCGTTTACATTTACTGTTGCAGCAAGTGGGAGATTTTTCTATTGATGTAAGCAGTGTGGATCTATTCCAGATTCCCATAATTGTTGGTGAACCGTCTTTAGATGATGGAAACCAACATTTTGGGAATCATGGTATTTTGAAAAACAAGCTAAATATTAAAACAATTCAGTCTTCTGGAGAGCATACTCCCATTTCTTCTAATCCCCACTCTTTTGTTGAGGGAAATTTACATGGAGAGGGTTCTCCTGACTTGATTTCTGAGGAGTATTTTGATATGGCCACTGATAAAGATGTTGTTAGTAGACGAGGCAATCTCTATTTAAGTGATTTTGAAGAAGAATCTATTCCTATATTGGAACACGTTCTTGAAGAAGATTCTCATCCTGTTCCAATTGTACCCTTGAGTTATGCTGAAGAAACAAATGGACCAGTGCAACGAGCCAAGGAAAGGTGCAGCGGTGATGAAAATCCTATTTTGTCTCAGCAAACATATAGTTCTAATGCACAATATCCAGAACAATGGATATGGGCTCCCTTTTCTGTACTGCGGAAGGCCTACAGAAAAGATCTCCATGGCGGTTTGTTGCACAAATTCCAGTTTATTAATAGCTATACTCCAGTCCGTTTATCTGGAGTACACAAGCTCATTACTTCAGAGTGCTCATTACACTTTGCAGTAGGCTCAGGTGGCAACGTTTTGTCTCTTGTTGATGATGAGATATCCAGTATTATTGCTTGTGCTTTAGCATTATACAAAGACCAATGTGGCCCGGTGGATGTCATAGCTGAAAAGGAATTAAGAGAAGAGCTGGATCAAATAGCGGATTCTTCATATGGGTCTCATATTTCTGTGGCTTTATCGCAGCATCCTTCTAATTTATCTTTGGAGTCTGAAGGTTCACGCTCATCATCAGCAGATGAACTTTCTACTTTAGCTTCTGATGCTTCATTATTTGTAGATCAGTTGATTGCTTCAGATAATTTACATCCTGAGGTTACTTTTGGTCCTGAAAAGTTTGCTGGAAAAAGTAAATACTCAGTGATTTGTATATATGCAAAAGAATTTTATTCTCTTCGAAAGAAGTGTTGCCCATCAGAGCTGGCTTACATATCCTCCCTTGGTCGTTGTAAGAACTGGGATGCTCAGGGAGGAAAGAGCAAAGTGTTCTTTGCAAAGACGATGGATGATAGATTTATCATAAAGCAATTAAAAAAGACAGAGCTGGATTCATTTTTGAAGTTTGGACCCCAATATTTTAAGCATGTCTCTTTTTCTCTAGACTCAGGGAGCCAAACTTGTCTTGCAAAAATACTGGGGATATATCAGGTCGTAAATCTGTTTCTCAAACGCTAGACCATTAACTTAAAAACTTGTTTCATATTCATTTTGATCTGAGTTGAATCTTCAAACTGTAGGTTAGGCAAGTCAGAAAGGGCAAAGAGGTTAAAACTGATCTAATGGTTATGGAAAATTTACTCTTTCGGAGAAATATTCCACGCAAGTATGATCTCAAAGGTGCCGTCTTTTCCAGATACGTTTCTGTGGCCACTGATCCAGATAAAGTTCTTTTAGATGAAAACTTTATCGAAGACATGCGCATGTCTCCAATATATGTTAGCAGGAGAACTAAACATCTATTTCAAAGAGCTATTTGGAATGATACTTCTTTCCTCACTGTGAGTATCCAGTTCCTTCTTCTTTGTTTTATAGTATCAAAGGTCATTTCAAGAATAAGTGTTATTTTTCTTGCAGTCCATTAATGTCATGGATTATTCCTTACTTGTGGGGGTGGATAGAGAACGCCACGAACTTATATTTGGTATTATAGATTATATGAGGCAGTACACCTGGGACAAACAGCTTGAGACCTGGGTAAAATCTTCTCTAGTTGTTCCTAAGAATGCATTGCCAACTGTTGTTTCCCCGAAGGAGTACAAGAGAAGATTTAGAAAGTTTATGTCTAAATATTTCTTGACTGTTCCAGATACTTGGAGCAGCGTACAGTATTCAGAACTCGGTAAATCTTTTCTCACTGGTGACAAATTTCCTTCTACATTAGACGAGGAAAATGTCCAGTGTCAGCCAGTTGAAGGATGTTCCTGATATTGATGTGAACTCATTAGCCAAGTGGCTTAAAACTAGCTTTAAGATGTTTTTTTGGTATTTTCCAGATTCAAACAATTACTGCGTACAGCTTCTGTGTGATATCAATCCAAATATTGCAACTTTTAAAGCAATTTTGGAATTAATGTACCTACATTTAATTTTTTTGGTGCATTGTACAAACGCAAATGTTTATTTAAATGCATTTTATCTGTTACATCATTTGTCACTGTAGTTATAGGCCTTAAGGTACATAATTTTCATTTGAAATGTAATCCTTTATTGATACCATTTGAATAATCAAAATTTTTTATTTCTAAATAAAAATGTTCCTCTTTTCTTTTTTTCTTTATAAAATGATCAGCTGGATGAGTGGCTTTACTCTCAAAGATAGAATGCGAAATAATCATATACGTGAAAAGGTTGGAGCAGCTCCCGTGACAAATAAGATTGCATTAGATGGTTTGGTCACATAAAATGCTGGCCTTTTGATCATTCATTTTGTAGAGTAGATTTTTTAGATTTGGCTTATGTAAAGAAAGGTAGAGGTAGACCTAAAAAGATTTCATTAGAAAGTATAGAAAAAATATTTTTTATTAGATTTAATAAAAAATTGACACTTAACTTGACAAAATAGAGAAAAATGATTTATGTTACCATATAGTGGGAAAAAGGATTGATGTTGTTGTAAGATGCAAATTTGCTGAAACATGGTAAATGGCGTCTGGTTTGAGGGAGATTGCATCCTTTTTTGCTTTATTCGTTATATGGTTTATGTACAAGTTGGCGCTCTACTTAGTTTATGCTATTTCATGTTATGACCACATATCACACTCTTAAGAAGGACTTGTCGTACTTTTGTTTTTGTTTATATTGTTCAGGTTTTGAATTTTTCCTAGTTGGTAGGTTGAATTTCAGACACCTTTGATCAAGTCTTTATAAATCTAAAGTAGTTCAATCACTGTTTTAATCAAGAGCTTTCTCAAAAAAAAAAAAAAAAAAATTTATATAATTAATCATAGAGGCTTGACTTTACGAGAGACCTCTAACTCAATAAAAAAATGAACTCTGGTTTAGTTTACTAGTGTAAGAAAAAATCTATGGACATAAATTAAAGTTTAATTGATTTTAATGTTTCTGGGCCTTGTTTGATCATCTTCATCTGTCATCTATTTTAAACTTTTTTCACACTGTCCTGGAAGATCTTGTTATCATCCTGGACGACCAGTTCAATTCACTTCTAAAATCCATCTGCTGGCTATTCTGACCTTTCTGTTCTTTATCTTCTTGGATGATACATTATCATCTTGGATGATCTGATCGTATTCTGCTTCAATCATCCTTGATTGTTCTAGACAATCCTCTTTCATCCTGGACGATGCCTTTATTCCTTGCCCAATTCTGGTAATCGTCCCATACGATCCACCTGTCCATCTTGGACGATACACGTGGAAATACGTTTAATAATCATTAAATTCGGCCGATACGATCCATTATTGGAGAATCGTCCCGGATGATCCACCTAATCGTCCTAGCCGATACACATGGAAGTGCATTTAAATGTTTTAAATTTGGCTGGTATGATCCATTATTGATCATCGTCCGAGATGATCCACCTCATCGTCCTGGACGATATGCTTTTACAACGGTCATCCGGATTGTCGCCTTAGGATGATCGCCTGTGTCTCATCATCCCGGATGATATCTGATCGGCCCGGACGATATGACTGCCTTTTTGACAAATTGTCCAGCCACAATTATTACACCAGATCATCCTAGATGATCCTGCGATTGTCCTGGATGATCTGGCCGATTCTTTATAAACCAAGCCCTTCCAGCATTTTCTTCACACCATCTCTTTCTCCTTGCTTACTACTTCCTATTTTCTTGTTCTTTCATGATAATGGATGGAGGCAAGTGTGCTTACCACCCTTCTACAAGTTCCTTGAGGGCCACTTTGGACCCTCGATTCCTGGAGGTGGATGATCAAACCGCTTACCAATGCTATAAGGAAGCCGGAATCACTGTCTCCTGGTCCATCAATCTAAACATCCTGTCTTATCTGGTACTAGATTTATTTGCCCACACCTCCTTGTGCTTTCTTCTAACTCTTGCTTTACTGTTCAATTTCGAGTTGCTCTTTTGATTTTTTTGCAAGTCTCTGTAGGAATTCTACTTTTATCTATATTGCCTCGTATGTGAATGGACATCCCATCTAGATAACATATCAGGATTGTTCAGAGATTTTGCAGCTTTCCACCACAGGGGTTAAACTTCATACCCTAAGTTATGACCCTGATTTTGATTGGGCTACGGCCAACCATTTTCTTCACAACTCAAATGCTCACTTTCACATGGGCAAAACTAGTACCTTGCTCAAGGATGCTAGGACCGTCCAACATGTCCTTCGCACTTCAATAATTTCAAAGGCTGGTGATCGTATCCATATTATTCCTCTTCTTTTGTTCACTACCTTTTATATTTTATCTCATCATGAATTCAATGCTATCGATCTGATCTTTCGTTATATTTAGCATTTGACCACCATTCGTGACCAAGGACATAGGAGGAAGATAAATCTAACCTTAGGACATATCATTTCTTATGTCTTAGAAACCAAATACAACCTCCAATATCTTGCTCCTCCCATTTCCCAGTCATCCTTTTATTCCATTAATTCCTTCCATGTTCTTCATAGTACTCATCTCCACCCAGGGCATGAGGAAGCTGAGGTAGCTAAGGAGGAGGAGGCTCCAATGCCTATGCCTGCACCTATTTCGCTCAGCCAGCACTCTCAACTAGGCCAGTTGGTGGAGCATTTTGACCAGTGGGAGGCCCATTTTGACACTTTCGTTGTTACACATGAGCAACAACATGCTGAGGACATAGCCCATTATGAGCAGCACCGCGCAGAGAACTTAGCCCATTTTGACACCTACGTTGCACACCAGTAGCAGCAGCATGACCAGGACATGGCCTGGTTTGGAGCACAATTCGCCTCGCTATCTAGCTACTTTCAGTAGCCACCACCACCACCTCCTCCTTCAGATGATCAGGGGCCATCATTTTACTAGTGTTGTTATGCTGTTCTTTTTTTGTTGTAGTTTGTTTCTTTTTGTTTGTCATTTAGTTTCTTCTTTGTTTCTGTTTTACTCTCCTCCTCCTTTTTGTGATATCAAAAGGGGGAGTAGTCTGTAGTCTACTGTACTGCTTGCTTCGTACTCTGATTCTATTATTTAGTTTATGTGTCTTTTCTTCAATGCTTAGATTTTCTTATATGTTTGCCATCATAAAAAAAGGGAAAGATTGTTGCGTATCTAATTTTCAGAAATAGAATTTTGATTATTGCAAACACTTCTATTTTACTATGACTAGCTTGCCATCTAATATTTCAGGTTTACAGGATCAAGAATGCAATTTGAACGAGCTCAAGATTGGGAAGAATAGATATGAGTCAATTTATAATGTATTTTTTCTCTTTCTTAAGTCATTTGTAATCTTTGTGGTGCCTGTTGCTAAGTAACCCTGTACACACACACTTGAGTGAATTTTTTTTATCTGAATTAGAGTTTTCTGATTTTTCTAACATCATCTGAGGCGATCCAGAAATTGTCCTAGACAATCTATCAAAAATAGAAACCCTAATTAGGGCATCCTGGTTGAGGCAGCCTTATTAAGCAGATCGTCTTGGAAAATGTTTGTATCGGCTGGGACGATATGCTTAAATAAAAAAGAATTAATCGCCAGATCTATTTAGGAAGTTTTATTTTTTAATTATTTCCAAAACATTGGCCTGAATGATATGGTTCAATTATTCCTAAATTGATTTGATGATTAAGGAAAGTAATTAAGACTAATTGATACAATCATATCGTTCCGGACGATCGCAAGATCGGCCAGGACGATCAGTTCAAAAACTTTGACTGCTCCTAGTCGACAAAAATCATACATCATCTGTTCAGAGCGATGCTCAGGATGATTTTGCGTAGATTTGAACTAATCGGCCAGGCCGATCGAGAGATCGGCCTAGACGATCAAGTAATTTTGTTCTTTTTTAGACTCCCATCTAGGGCGATGCTCAGTATGATATTCCCTGATTTGTACTAATCGTACAAGATGATATATTATCATCTTGGATGATTGGAACAAAAAATCTTCTAATCGTCCCAAGTCACCCGGGCTGATTGAGCTGAAATTGTACTGATCATACAAGATGATAAAAATATTTTCCTAGATAATAAAGTCGGTTCTTGAAAATTTATATAAAGGAGTCGTGTTTTCTTAAGTCCAAGGATCCTTTGTTGCTATCTTGACCTGAGAGAGCCTAGAGGAGAGGGAGAGAGAGGGAGAGAGAGGGAGGAACTTGTGAGGGGCAGCTTGTGAGGGGTTTCACAAGGGTTGCTCCAAGCAAGGTTCCAAGGCATCTTCTCCTATCATCATTCCTCATTCTTGGAGGCTCAAGGGAGGTCTTCTTCAGAAAATGATTGAGGTTCTCTGCCCGCTTCAGGAGGAAGCAAAAGGAGTTGGGTTTTTTGCCTGCTTTAGGAAGAAGCAAAAGGAGTCGATTCTCTGCAGCACCGGGGTTGGTGGAAAGGAGTATTTATAAGGGCTTCTTTGCCTAGCTATGGGGGCTAAAGGAGAGACACTAAGTTTGTTGCAAACCTATTTTCATGACCTGTGTTTTGATGATTGACAAATACTATTGATTCTCTTGGACTACTTGTTTCTTCTAACTTTTCAGGAATCAAAGATCGGACGAACATGTTGGGTCTAGTAATTAGGATGTTAAGCCTAAGTGAATGTCCCAAGGCTAACCAAGAGGGGGGGTGAATTGGCAATTTAAAAAAATGTAACTTCAACTCTTGGAATTTTAGAAAATCTTTTGAATTATTGATGCAAGTTAAAATTAAAGTTTAAAATAAACTTTTCAACCAGAGTAAACAACTTGCAATGAAATTAAATGCGGAATACAAAATAAGAAAGAACACACCAGATTTATAGTGGTTCGGTCAAACCTTGACCTACATCCACTCCCCAGAGGCACCCTCTGAGTATTGCACTAATACCACAAAGTGACTCTCCTTTTGCTCCCACAGCAAGGCGGAGAAGCCTGTACAAAATCACTTTCACCTTCCCCGGTGCGACGGAGTAGCCGGGTTCTTTAACACCAAAGAGATCTTCTTCTTGCCAAAACTTCCCTCAAGACGACCCTTGAATCCGATGGTAATGAGGTGCAAGTTCGCCGG